CCCCTCCTCCTACCGTGGCCACACCGCTATTTATGCATGCAGCAAACATTACCGAGCACCTACTATGTGCTAGGCATTGAGTTGAGCAGATGCTCCCCAGTCCCTGATTAAGTGGGTTTGCCTGGAATCCAAAGGCCTCTTCAGGCCCTGGCACTCGGGCCAGGCAGCAGGTGGCTCTGCCCAGGACTGAAGGCAGAATCAAGAGAACTGCTGAGCCCTCTAATCCAGGTGACTTCGAGGGCGTGTCCCTCCTCTGCCTTCTCTCTTCCCCTCGCCTCCCCAGCACTTAGCGGAGAGCTCCAGGCACCTGGGAGCTGGGCCCAACCTTTGAGACCCAGGATATGGCTCATTATGCAAAGAAGGAGGCAGAGGTCTGCACCTCCCCAGCACAGCCCCGCTCCACTCTGTCCTGTGGTCCCACTGTGTGTCTCTGAGGCTTAAAAAGAGAGTCCAGGAAGAGCTTCGAGTGAAGAGGCATTTCCCATGTAACGCAGTGAGTAGGAGCATGGGAGCTGCTCCGAGGGACCTGTGGTTTTCAGCACGCCTGTTTGTAAAGTGGGGCCCCTGTGGTTGGGGAGCTTAACTGAGATGGCGTGCCTGGCAGTCAGTAAGTGGATTGTTTTTAAATAAGGCCCCGCGAGCTCCTCAGTATATTCTCACCTACCTAAGGCATCCTGCGGTTCTTCAGAAGGCCTGGGGTCCTTTCTTCCTCCATGCCCCCTCCCTTGGGATCCATGTAGCCCTCACACCCTTTAATACTCGGCCCAGGTGTCTCCTCCTCCCTCCCCAGTCTGGGCTACTTGCCTCCCTCTCCGGGCTTTCCTGGGCCCCGGCCAGTTCTATCACGTGAGCCTGCAGTGGTCTTTTGCTTTGATGTCAGCGAACTTCTTTTTTTTATTGAATATATTGGGGTGACAGTGACATTGATTGATAAAATTATGTAGGTTTCAGGTGTACAATTCCGTAATAGGGGTACTTCAGATGGGGAATGAGCACAGCTGACTTTTAATCTGGGCTTTAATACTTCCTTGCAATGTGATTGTGGGCAAGTTACTTACCATCCCAAGTCTCTGATTGTTCTTCTATAAAGTAATGCTCCTGCAGGATTACTTCTGGGACTAGAGATAATACCCATAATGCACTGGCTCGTGCACTGTCCTCATCACTCCAGCCCAGGCCTTTGCACAGGACTCTTGGTCCGTGCACTCTACATTCTGGTTGATCAGGTTAGGGAGCACCTACACCCTCTATCCCAAGGTAATTTTCATTAAAAAGCAGAACTAAGTGAGGCCCAAGTCTAACCCAAAGAAAAAGCCCCAACAGTGGGATGTGGGATCCAAGGCCCTGAGCAGGACTGGAGGGCAGGGGGCAGATGTGTTGGGTCAGCCCAGCGCCCTCGTATGCCCATGGAGCCCATGCCCTGCTGGTCATGCAGGGTGAAAATGAACCTCAGCTGCCTTGCTCTGAAGTCCTTCTTTGAAGTCCTTCTTTGGACCCCAAAGGAAGAGTGGAAGGGACACAAGGTTGGCAGCACCTGTGCCCACTGGATTCCTGCCCCGTTAGCTGGGCCCCAGGAGCAGGCAGGGAGAGAGGGGCGATGGCAAAGATGATTCCAGAAGACTCTGGGACAGAGGAACCGCCACACCTCACTTGGAGGAGGACAGGACCTTCAGAAATGATTAAAATTGCCCCTTGATTTGAGTGATGGAGAACCAGTTGGCACGGATCTTAAGAATTAGCTTACGGTTTTCTCCAGAGTTTAGTGTGCTGGGGAAAAGAGCTGACACAGCTCAGGGGGTTCTTGAACTTCCAGTAGCTGCATAAAATGTTAATAAGTATTACATTTTTTCCATTGAATTCCCCCTCCTCACTAATAAGAGCTGTGTGGGTCTTTGGGTTGTGTCTCTCTCCTTCCATGCTCCCTCTGTCCCCACGGCCAGCAGGGAGAACCGTGGACTCATTAGCAGCACATTTGTAACTTCTCACTCACCTTTAGGTAGTTCAGTTCCAACCCAGAAAATCAAGGAAAGAAGGGAAGAAAAGGACTAGTGCCTAAGTCAATATAGCTGGTGCCATTTCTTAAAGGTAAAATTGGAACTGTTAAGAAAAACTGTTGAGATGGAGGAGGGAAGGGACATGGAGACTGAGAGGATTGGCGGAGAGCAGCTGTGGGAGAGTTTATAACCACGGGAGACAAGATGCAGACAGACCTGGCCTTGAACCTGACCTGGGTCATCTCAGCAAGAACTTAACCTCTCTGAGCTGTTGCCTCGCCAGAAAAACAAGATGACACCTACCTCAGAGAATTAGATTATCATCAGGCCGCTCTTAGCAGTGTCTAGCCCAGAGCATGCACCCCCTAAATGACAGCTACACCCATGCCTCAAAGAGGAGAGCCCCCCTGAGGGGAGTGTGACTGGAGGGTGATTCCTCTACTCATCCAGTGGGGTCCTGGCAGCCCCAGGCCTGGGCTTAGCTCTGGGACTCCCTGGGGAAGTGGTGGGAGCCGGGCACGTCACTGCCTGGTGCTGGGTCTCCCTGTTGAAAGAGGTTGATAGCAGAGTTCCTTACACCCGTCTCCGCATCTGCACACTGAAGCCCAGAGTCAACAACGACTGGATCACACCCGGAGTGGGTGGCTGGGTTTGGGGCTGGGAGAGGAGTGTTCATGGTACACTTTATCATAGGTTTTGAATTTTGAAATATATGAATATGTTACCTATTTGAAACATAGATAACATTTTTAAAATGCAAAGACCAAATCAATATGCAGCCCGAGGCCATATGAACCAGGAGGAGGATGGCTGCAGACAGTGGTGTTGGGAATACTCCTGGGAAGAAGAAGGGGTGAAGTGAGAGGAGGAGGCACAGGGGCATCAGCTCACTGGGGTCCCTGGAAAAGAGCGTGAGCGGTGAGAGACGGGTGTGCAGCTCCGCATGACAGGCATTCTCTGGGCATCACAGGCTGACTGGACTGAGGAGAAAACGACTTAAAGTGGTCTGGTGTCAAGTTCGAGCTTGCTCCAGTTGGAACATGAATTGTCAATGGAATGGAACTAAGGAAGGAGGAGGGATCAGGGGTTGAACTATTCACTCAGAGTGTCTGTGCTATATAGGAATTTATAGCTCGGAATCCTTGGGGTGGGATGTGGCTGTGTGTGGCTGCATCTTATTTATTCCTCACAACTCTTGGGGGCATACGTGTACGTATTATTATCCCCGTTGTAGAGATAAGGAAATTGAGGCTCAGAGAGGTTAAGTGACTTTTCCAAAGTAACACTGAAGGTATTTGAGAGCCCTAGGATTTGCATCCCAGTTTGACGTCAAAGCCCATGCCCTTTTCACTCTGATGTGCTAGTCTCCACCCTCCTCCTGGTCTGGGCAAATCCTGGTTAGACCTTCATGGAGGGTGCAAGAGGTTCGCTGAAGAGATGAGGAGTTAGGCTGGCATGAGGGAATTGAAGCTGGGGAGACAGGGATGGGACTGGGGTGCTAGTGCTGGCTGTCCAGTCTCCCTGCGCTGCCCCCCGCCCCCACCAAACCACCACCAGGAGCCAGGCCTCGGAGCATCTGGTGGTGTTGAAGACCAGAGACTGTGTGGGGCAGAGGGCAGGTAAGCAGAGGGAGGGCAGTAGAGACAGGCAGGTAGGCACTTATCCAAGTCTTATTATTGCTTACAAAGCACTTGCTGAAGACCCACTTCCAAAACCTGCCTCAGGTATCTGGTTAGTTCTTTCCTTCCTTAACCCTCAGGCAGCATGAGTCAACAGGGACTGGGATCTGAGTGCCAGGGGCATGGTCTGCCGAAGGTGGGGCATCAGTGGGGGCTCAGAGTGTTTATTTGGGGCAGATTCCATTTTGGGAGATGGAATGGCATCCGCAAGTCTGATACTGTCACCTTAGGCGGGGTGGGGCCCCTGAGCTCACTGCCCAGATGTCCCTATCTGCCTCACAGGGTGCGGGGGTAATTCCCCCACTGGCCCTGCACTCCATGCCAGGGGGAGCTTCAGGTTTGCCCACGAGGGCTTGGGTCACTCTTGTAGGTGGGGAAGCCCTGGGACATGCGTCTCGCTCTGTTGGTGCTGTGTGTGCAGCAGGTGAGATCTAGCTCAGAACAGGAAAAGAGAGGGGAGCTATTCACTGAAAGGTCTCAGTACACACTTTTCGGGTGAGCATCACACAGAAAGGAGAGAAGGGAGAGAACGTGCGAGAGAAGATAAGAGTACAAAGCGGGTAGATGAAAAGCAGAAAGGCCTTTGAAAGTGCCACCTGGAACAGGCTGGAGGGAGGCCTGGGGCTGCCCTTGGGTAAGGCTGGGGGAGGCCACAGCTCCCCCCACGCTGTGCAGGGGGCACAGCGGCCCAACAAGCCGGAGCTAGACCTTGGGCACTGTGCAGCCTGGGAAGCATGAGGGAACTGAAGTACCTCCTCCGGAAATGGCCCCACGGCTGGGATTGCTTCCGAAGGACTTGGTGGGTCATGGCAGTGCCTTATGCAAGTATCTCCTTTTCATTAAGTTTGAGATGAAAGGTTTAGAATAATGGCAGAGGAAGGTAAGCCATAGAGCGTGAGCAGAAATTAATGAGGACTGTGTCTTGGGTTTTCTTAACACTGCAAACCAGGGGTTCTTAACCAGGGGTGATGGATGAGCTGCAGGGTCCCCGATCGCTCCGTGATCGTGTGCAAACTGACTTGATAGTTTTCCAGGAATCTCGAATCCCCCCGAGGTTAATGAGTTGTATTCTCCCTCACATGCACTGGGCATACATTAGTTACTTGGTGTGTGGTTTTTATACAGAGGGTTTCTTTTCTGGAACTGACACAGTCACATCGCGGCCCTGTGTTTTCATCCTCCTCTCGGTCAACCGTGCCTGGAACGGAGAACTCGGCTGACCTGCTTCGCAGCCCAGGCCCCTTGGGCCGAGGCACAGCTGGCCAGACTCTGAGAAGCACAGACTGAAAAAGAGCCTTGTTTTTTTTTGTTTTGTTTTTTGTTTTTTTTAAACTGTGCTTTATTTAGGGCTAAGCTGGAGAAAGCGTCATCCAATAGTTACAGAAGGTTACAAGGAGTTTTAGGGAGTTGAGTGTGAAAAGAGCAGTTGTACTGAACTGCAGCGGTTTTGTTTTGTTTTGTTTACAACATCTGGACATCCTAAAAGGAGGAGCCAAGAGAAAGAAAAAGAAAAGTTTAAAAATAATAAATAACCAACAAAATAGAAAGAAAGGAAAGGCAGGAGGTCCGAGAGGAACCAGCTAAAACAAAACAGGAAAAACATGGTAGGTCCACACGCCCCCTGGCCTCACGCTGACCTGACGTCAGTGAGGAGGGTAACAGGGCAAATACCAAAGCAAGTCTTCCCAATGGCGCAAATAAATTATAATAAATATGTTATACTTTAAAATATACGCGTTCTTAAATAAATCAGCGCTTTTCTGATTCTGAGTTTTTTTTAAGCAATGTCTTTTTTAACTGCTCTAAAGTCATTTACCAAAGATAAATATCGTGCTTTCATTAAATAGTTTTCCTTGTTTTTTTCTCTATCATTACAATTAAAAGTCCTACAAAATATGCAAATTTATTTACAGAAAAACAGAGCCGGCATCATTTAAACATCCCTGTTTTTCAAAATTCCTTGTAAACAGTTTCAGAAATTCTTCAAAGATTGTTTTTTTCTCTCTCTTGTTTAAGGTTTTGTGTGTGTGTGTGTGTGTGTGTGTGTGTGTTGTTTAGTTGTTTTAAGATGAAAGTTCCCAGGTCCCCTTGCCCGGAAAGTCTCTGGAGCAAGCATGGAAGGCGAGTGAAGCGAAGGTCCAGGGCTTTCGGAGAGCGGCGAGCGCACAGCTCCGGCGAAGCGAGGTGAGGGCGGCTGGGCCTTCCTGCCCTGGCGCGGCCTCCAGGCGGTGGGCAGCCAGGAGCCCGTAGGTCTGGGCCATCGGCCTGGCCCTCAGGGTCAATGGTGTCGTCATCGGACAGCACTCACTCGCGGGGAGAAGGGATTGATGCTCAGTCTAAACTCTACAAAAGTACAGTCCTACAACATCTGGGATTTTAGCAGTAATGCTAACTTCTATAAGTTTTTTTTTCCTTTTTTATTATTTTTTTTATTTTTTGCTTTCCTCTAATTTTTCTTCTATTATATAGGTATTTTAAACTTCTCCTTTTTAAAATTCTGTACAACTATTATGTTTGTAAGAGGGGGAAGAGTTAGAAGCATTTACAGACTTTTCACAACAATTCTCTTGCCTTGTGAGTCCCTTTTTTCCCCTCGTTTTCTCACACTTTACAGTTAAGGAGCTTTAATATTTTTGTTGCTTTCCCCAAATATCCACCAATTTGTTCCTCTTAACAGCTCCATCCAGACATATAATACAGAAAACCATAGGAAAGTGTCTAAGACTTGAATGAGGGTAATCAAAGCGCCTCTCGAAGTATCAAAGAACTATTATCTTGCTGTTTTAAAAGCATTTAAGCATTATTTTTCCTTTTTTTGTGTTTTTGTGTTTTTTGTGTTTTTTTTTTTTTACTTTTTTCTTACATTTTTCATAGAATCGCTCTAAGCTGTTTCGAGAACAGCCAGGAGGCAGGAAGGAGGTGCTCCTCCGTTCCCCCTGTGTTTGACATAGAGCTACACGTCTGCAATAAAAAGTTTGGTCCTTTGGTCCCTAAATAGCTAAAGGAATGACAGATAGAGATGCTCCGGCGGCCTCCCAGCCGCCCCTGGGGACCAGGCCCCGCACACCGCTCGCCCCAGCCTGCCGCAGGCGCCCACGGGCTGGAAAGCCCCGGGGATCGGTAAGCAGCGCAGCGTCTCTTTCCAGTTCCCAGCCCTTCAGCCTCCCCATCTGGTCTCAAGTTATTTTGTTTTAAAAGTTGCCTTTTTTGTATGTTTTTTTTCTCAATTTTTCTTCATCTTCTTCTTCTTTATGTCATAATGTATTTTCCCCAAACACGTGCCCTCTGAACTCCATAGACGCTATACTTCCCTTGAAGAAATGTTACAGTCACAGAGTGTCTGGAGTCCTCAGCTTGCTTGGTATTGGCTGATATGTCAAAGGTGTCATCCAACAGTTCTCATTTATAAATAGAGAGAGAGAGAGGTTTGTTTTTTAATGTAGCCCGTTCAGCATCCTGCCCTAAAATGAAGAAAATCAGGGCTGATTAAGCAAAGAGAGGAAACACAAAATGCATCCAAACACCAAAAGGAGCCTGCCTGGGGCGGGGGGAGAGGGGGGTTCTGGGGGTGGCAGGAGGGAGGGAAGGACCAGGATGAGAATTAGTCATGATCATGATACATAAAGAAGAAATTGACTCTTCTCTTCAGAGCAAGAAACCACTGAGAGGTCTAGTCGTGAAGGTTGTGGGAAGGGGTCTTGATTCAGGTTCCTTCAGAGTTCTAGATTGGGGGAGGGCTCAGTCTAAGGGATGAATTTGGGACTGTGGGATATGAATTCATAATTAAACTGATCTCTGAGGGATCGATCCCAGATACAATATGTATACAGAAGCCTAGCAAACAAGATAGCACAATCTAGCAGCCCAGCCCCACTCCTCCCCGACTTGAGGAAAAGGCAGAAAGATCCATGACATGAATTTTGCTGAATCCTTGCCCACTTTCCACCAACCACTCCTTTCCCAAGGTCAGTAACTATTTGCGAGGCTACGTGTATATATATATGTATATCTGGATATATGTGTAGAATATATTCACCTGCACATATGTGGATATACATGAATATGTGTGTATGTATATGCATAGATACACACATATACACACACTTAATGTTTTTCTCATACATGCCAGGGAATTTAGAGGAAATTCAGATCTTCAAGGGGTGGATGGGAGAACCTAAAAGAAGTTAGAACGGATTTAATCATCAAACATAACTCAGTTCTTGATTTCGTTTTGAATGGTGGCTTTTTGGCGTTTTGTTTTGCTTTTAAGAAAAAAATCATGATCTGACTAGAATCAGAAGGAGAATGCTTAATCACTGTGAATTAACAAATGAGACTCATCTCCATTCTAGCAAGCAGCTTCCACTTATACATGGGGGTGACTGGTTACACCAAGAGAGTTAGGACTGCAAAGCCCCCGGTGGAGGGGCCCACGTCATGCGTATATCAATCCATGCTGGCAGGTTTTCACACTGTTGATTCAACAAACAGCAAACCGTACACAGCAGTCTAAACAATTACAACACCAAATAAAATAATAATAAAATTAAAAAACACTTGTCAAGGACCCTTTTTCAGTTGTAAACAAAAAGATGCATTTTGCTTTTTCAAAACCAACCAAAAAGCCCTCCCGACACCCCGGGCCCCCGGGTCCCCTGCCCACATTTAATTTAGCAGAAGTGGCTAAAATACAAACCTTACAATTGTTAACAGGCTCTCTCTCAGAGGCCTCTGGCTTTGTACTCTAGTTTTTTGGTTTAGAATTTTTTTTTTTTTATCATTCTGTTACTATAGAGATTTTTTTTTTTTTTTTGGTTTTCCTTTTGAAGTGAGATTTAAAATGGCCTAACTGGAAAAAGACCAGACCCAGGGAAAGTGTCAATTGAAAAAGGCCCCCAAATTTCTAGAAAAAAATAAAATCACAATATTTTCAAGTGCAAGTAAATCAACCACGCATATTTTTAAGATGTTTTCCTTATTTTTTTTTAAGAAAAAGATAATGGTTTGCACAGTTAAATGATCCCATGTTCGATAATTCAGGAATTCATCTTTATTTTTACTAATTTTTTTGTGCTTTTGTTTTGTTTTTTTCTCTATGTGACATCTAGAGAAGCATAAAAAACGCTGAACAAGAAAAACCAAACAACAGAAAGTAAAACCACTGCAAGCACCAAGAACGAAACAAAAATGAGCACAGCAAAAAAGATCGTGGCAGCACAAAAGTCAAGAGAATGCACGTGTGATCATGACTGGCCAATCATCAACTGATACAACATCCAAGAAAAACGCTCCAATCACAGCACCTCCACGAAACTTGACGGCAATTGTCATGCAACCGATTCTTAGCCTTGTTACATGACGCCATCATGTCACACTGTGAACTTTGAGTTGATTTGAACTTACGGATGGGGGACTGTTTTCTCCACTCTCATGTGATTACGTGAACTTTATTCCTAGCTCAGCGCGAGACTGTGGTGGATTTGACTGGCTCTGGTTGGGTTGTTGGAATTTGATTGAATGACAAAAGAAGAAAAGATTTATATATATATATTTATATATGGAGAGAGAGAGAGAGGACAAGAGTGTGGGTAAGGGGGAAGGAAGAAGTGGGGCAGGGCGGGTGGGGGAGGGGGAGTGTGGGAGGGCAGGGAGAGTTGGGTGGAGGGTGAAGGAGGGCGAGGAAGAAGTTAAAACAAAATTAAAAGGAAAAATATTTATACAGCACCAGACCACAGCGTCAATCTAACAGCTCAGATGAGAGAACAGCAGTCAAATCATAAGAGAACTGAAAAGAACTCAAAGGATGGAGGAAGCGGCAGACGGACGACATGGGCACATCAACACACACACATCCACGCACGGTTGTTTATGCAGACACATGGTACACTGTGAACAGCAGCAGGACCTCACACGGGGCCACTGAGGGCATCCATCATGCGTTGGGAAGGGGGGTGGGGGCGGGGGCAGTTTGGCGAGGGGGCCAGAAAAAAATAAAACAGCCCCTTAAAACCACCTTGGCTGGCAAGCAGCTCGGCAGCACGTCTCTGCTTTCTATCACCCTTGATTCTTTCTCTCTCCCCCAGGTGCCGGGCTCTCCTCACCTCCCCAGCCTCCTGTGGCTTCAGCCTGTGGACCAGCAGGGGGAGCCTGTCAGGTGACCTGATGGCCAGGTAGGTCAGAGGCTGGCTAAGGTGGCTGTTGGACCCACGAGGTCCATCCGTGAGATACTTTGCTGCCACAGTACAGTCCACACTGGCAGCAACTCGGCCCTCCTACCCTTTGGGTCCCACCTGGGCCACCGTCCCCAGGGAAGAGAGCCTCCACTACAAGCGAACCCACTGCATGATGTTATAATCCTGTCCCCTTCCGCTCTGCCTCAACCCTCTTTCCTCAGAACAGGAATACCCTGAGTTTTTAGTTTAGAGGAAATCACATCAACGTTCCTAGAAATCTATACACATGCCCTGGCACTAAACATGTCCCGATCACCTCCCACCCTGAGCTTTGCTCCCTCGGAGGCCCATGTGGCCAAAGGGAGGCTGCTCTGGGCACAGGGAGCCTTTAGGAGGATCTGCAGGATCTGCAGCTGCAGCAGGATAAGGCGGAAGACTGCAGGGCAGGTGATACAAGGACAGTCCCCCAGAAAGGGAGTGCTGTGGCCCCAGATCTCTCTCTGCTGCTGTCACTTTCGCTCTGCTGACCTCCCCTAACCCCCCTCCTCCTTCTCCATCCCTTTACAACCTCAGCCCTCCCTGTACAGCCTTGTTGGCTGACCATCGCACAGCCCTGGCCTGCCTTCTTTACGGGCAGAGCCCTAGGTGGCTGAGGCTGGATTCCCTTCTCTTCACTTTGAGTTGTTTCCTCACCATTTCACGGTCCTTTGCCCCCACCCAGGGATGCTGGCCCAGGGTGGGGTCCCCAGTTCTATCCCCTTGTCATGGTTACCCTTAACCTTGCTCCCCAGCCCTCTCCCCTTTGGTACTCAAGCATCAGGTTTATCTGCAGGGTTCCCCACCCACCAGGCTTCTACACGCAGCTCAGCTGACTTCTACTTTCAGCTTTGTTTTCCTTCAAGGGAAGGCGGAAGAGCAGCTTGGGATCGTGAAATGTCAGTGTGGACAAGCTGCAAAGCAGCTGAGAGGTGACTATTTTAAGCCCAAACCCAGCTCCAGCTCTGCCTTCACAGAACAACTCCCAGCCCCTCTTCCTCCCAAGCCCCTGCCCAGCCTGCCTGGCCAACCTGGATTCTTGCTCACATAGACCAGGGCCCATTGCATAACCTCCAAGTCTGGACATGCCACCCTCCCCTGCAATACCACCCCCTTCCGGAAGACAGCCCTTAGACCCACCCAGGATATCTAATTGGCAGGTCCCTTTGGGTGGGAGGAGAGGCCTCAGAATGGAGGAGGGCAGTGCCATCAGGTGTGGGCTATGCAAGAACAACTAAGGGGTCCCCTGGACACCTCTCTGTCCCCCTACCCCCTGGTCCTGAGCACTGAAAGGTACCCACTCCTCGGACTCTGCTCTGCTCCTGCCCCCAGCTTTCCTCCATCTGCCCTTCAGTGGCTGGCGCTGTCCTAGGTGCTGGGGATCCAAACCTGCCTGTCACACAGCCCCTCCTCCTTCAAGCTCAATCCGGGGAACTTTCTCATACACTCACATCTCACACACGCTTGGCCCCGACACACAGACACACACTCATTCAATCCCTAAGGGGCCAACTGCTCTCTTCACGAGGGAACAGCGTGTCTGCCTGCTGGGGGACTTCCCGGGTGCCCTCCTGAAGAGCCTCTGAGAGCGCAGCCCTGTGGCTGCACAGGGTCACTGGCCAGCATGGGGGAGCTTGAATCAGGCCAGGGAGGCTCCAGCTCTTGACTGGGGTGAGGAAATGATGGCCAGGCCACAGCCATTCGGACGCTGGCCCTAAGCACAGCGGGGCTCTAGCCAGGGAAGGCCAGCCCCATGCAAGCCAGACCCAAAGCACCCGTGTCCCAACACTCAGAGCAGACCCTGTGCAGGAGCCCAGGATGCAGGAGGGACAGGACTCCCACTGGAGTCAGGCATGATGCTCAGTGTCCTCCAACCCAGAACCACCTCAGCGTGGGGCCCAGCTCCTGTTGTGAACTTACTGGGACAGGGACTTGAGGTTCTGGCTGTAGACCTGGCCTTGCCCACAATTTTGCCCATTCTTCCTGTCTCTGTTTTCTTCCTCTTAGATTCCTGGAGACTCCCCTTCAGAACCTGCCTCCCTTTCTTGGAGTCTCCACTTGAATGTCACTCTCTCTGGTAGACGGCCTATCCTAGCTACCTGATTTAACCGTGGCCAACAATTCTGACGCACTATGGAATTTACTCTGATCATACGTTATTGTTTATTGTCTCTCTCCCCTGCTTAGGACAAGGACTCCTGCCAGTCTCACTGGGGTCACAGCACTGCCGAAGGGATGGGGGGAAGCGGGCTGCGCAGTCTCTCTCTGGCCTGAGAATGTGCGGACCCTGCAGGACATGGGCAAGCAGGCTGAAGGGGGACTCTGGATGTCCTGGCATAGCGCCTCCCTCCCCACTTTCCCAGGCAGCCGGTGGCCCATTAGAGGAGTGGCCCATGTGTCTCCAGCTCAAGGCAGGACCCAGACTGAGCAGAAAGGGTGACGACTGCCCACCCATCCTGGCCTCGTACGACTGCCCACCCATCCTGGCCTCGTACAGCAGGCAGGAAAATGGCCCGGGGTACAGCATCACTATCCTCCGCTTCTGTCCTCTCCGGTTTGGTAAAGTTCCCTTTGAAAAGTCCTGTTCCTCTTCTCCAGGCTGAGCTATGGGGAATTGGAGGGGGGAGGGAATCAAGTGTCCAGGCAGGAGAGCTGGGGGAGGGGGAGCCAGGGAGGCCCCACAGAGGGCTACAGCTCCCCACAGGACCTACTCTGCGCCCCAAACGCTCCCAGGGCTGAGCTTGCCATGTGGCAAACAGGGGCGCAGGCCCAGGGCCCTCCCACTTCTCAGAACGGTCCCCTCACTCTGCTCCGTTGGCTCTGCGTCAGGGGGATGGCCATGACTATTTCTCGGGGTGACCACTGCTCTGCGCCTGGCCCCTAGGAGCCGGGCAAGGAGGAGGTCCAGACGGGCGCAGCGGGTCCAGGCCACGGAGGTCGGGGAGGCGGCGGGTCCGTCCGGTGTTCCCTCCCGAACCCCCCGACCCCGCGCCCCGGCGGTCCCGGGTTACCTGTGCGAGTCCTGGTCTCCCCCGGGGGACGCTCCCGCCGGCGCTCAGTACGGGCGATTGGCGTCTTTGGGCCGCTTCAGCTGCACCTTGAGCCTCTTCATGCCGATCTGGAAGCCGTTCATGGCCTGGATGGCGGTCTGCGCGCTGGCCGGGTTGTCGAAACTCACGAAGCCTGGCGAGACACGAGGGACGAGGGCCTGGGTTTCCACTGGGCCGCCCGGCCGGAGGGGTCGGTGGGGAGAAGTCCGGGCGAGGGCGGCGCGGGGCGGGGCGGGCCGACGGCGGCCCCTCCCTGCGCTCCCGCCCCGCGATAGTCTCGTACTACACTCACCGGCATGGGAACCCCGAGGAGGAAGAGTGGCTCACAGCTGAACGAATGGCAGTAAGTCCTTGATTTTCCTCTCATGAATCTACCCACGGCAAAAGATAGAATAGCTCTACTCAAAGTCAGTGTTTGCATTTCAGAGAAAACCA